TAAAAAATGAAATAATTGAAATGTGCAAAATTGAAAGTTGTGACAATAATAAAATGTATTACGTGCCACATTCTCCAGTGGTAAGAAACAATGTATCAAAAACTAAAGTCCGTATCATGTTTGATGCATCTTTGAAGCGTGATGGGGTATCTCTGAACAATTGTTTGATGCCTGGCCCAAATTTTAATCCTTCTGTTTTGGACTTGATATTGCAGTTCAGACAATACAAACATGCATTCTCAGCAGACATTGAAAAGGCCTTTCTCCAGATTGGAATTTCTCAAATTGATAGCGATGTATTACGGTTTTTATACTTTAATAATTATTACAATTTGAAACATTATAGAATGACTCGCGTTCCTTTCGGCGTGTCATGTAGCCCTTTCATTCTGGTGTGCACTATAAAAAAGCATATAAAGAAAATAGAGTTAGAAAATCAAGATATTTTTGAGATGTTGAACTGTTCGATCTACGTAGATGACGTTTTCTATGGTGCAGATTCCGTAGAACAGTCTTTTAAGTTAAATACTGGAGCCTATTGTGTGGTTAAAGATGCCGGAATGAATTTGTGTCACTTTAATACAATTTTAGGGAAACTCAAAAAACTTTGGGATGATTGTGGAATAATTAAGTCAGAAAATGAACTAACTAGCTCTTTAAAAGTATTAGGGTTTAACTGATGTACAAGTAAAGATGTAATTTCCTTGAACATAGATAACTTGTGCGAAACAGAAGTAGAGTTTGTAAGTTTGTAAACAGAAGTAGAGAAGTAAGAAGTTTGTGTAGAAAAACCACAAAAGGAAATATATTAAGGGTGACTGCTACTATTTTCAATCCAGTAGGTTTCTTGGCGCCATTTGTATTACGTGTAAAATTGATAATGCAAAACCTTTGGCAGTTGGGTCTAGAATTTGACGACGCCAACTGATTGTAAGCAGTTGTGGTCCGAGTGGAGCGGTGAAATTGAAAAGTTAAGGAAATTTGAAATTTCTCGAGAATATTTCCCTGGCAAATTGAATCAGAATAAAGATATCGAACTTCATTTATTTTGTGATACATCTATTAAAGCGCACGGCTCAGTTGCATATTTTAGATCGGTTAAAGAAGGGCAGATAGCATTCATTATGGCAAAATCTAGAATTGCACCAATAAAACATAAACTTACACTTCCAAGGTTAGAGTTGCTAGGAGCATTAACATCGGGAAGACTTGCTAAAAATTTAAAGGAGCTGTTTTCAATTCATGAAGAAATTATTTATCTGTGGACTGATAGTATGATAGTGTTTCATGTGGTCTTATGTCTGCTAGGCATTCAAACTGACCCTATTTCCAATAGTATGATAGTGGTTCACTGGATTCATAGTGCTCCTGAACGATGAAAAATGTAAAAAATCGAGTATCTGAAATACAATCATTAACTTGCCCAAATAACTGGAGACATTGTAATGGGAAGTTCAATCCAGCGGACATTTAACTCGAGGATGTTCAGCCGAATATTTGCTGTCTTCAAGATTATGGCAGTCTGAGCCAGACTGGTTAGTTGAATCATTGAGTGCTTGGCCTAGTAAATTTATTGCGACAACGGAGTTTTCTAATGCTGAATTAGAGCGGAAAACGTGTATAAATATTACCACAATACTACCGTCTATAGCAGAAAAATCTAATTCTCTGTTCAATCTTGAAAATTATAGTAAATTAATTAGAGCTATTAGAGTGACTGCATGGATATTTAGATTTACTCACAATCTGAAAAATAAAACTGACAAGAAAATAGGACCCTTGATTGCAGAAGAACTCTTTGCCGCAGAATTACATTTGATAAAAGAAGTTCAATATGAACATTTTTCTGATGAAATTAATAGTTAGACAAACAGTTGATTTAAGAAAACTCAAACATTTATGACCTAAATCCTTTTCTTCTTCCGTATTAGGGTTTTTTCCGGATTATAGATCATCAATTTAAATCTGGTAAGATGGCATGCAGAAATTTTACAATTAAAAATATGAAACCTTAATTTATGAAATAAAGAGCAATTATGATCTAAAGGCTATCAAAATTGAGAAAAAAAAAAAAGCTTAATATTTATTAGTTTACTTTATTAAACATTTCTTTCAATGTAACTTTTTAAGTTGCTTTGTTTTTTGTGCTAATACTTTCTCTTTAATTCTATAAACAGACATAATTTTTTGTTCAGTAACGAAGTTCCACTGTTTAAGTCCTGTAATTGCTGTGTCGAGAATATCGACTAACTTGTCAATCGAAATTTTTTCATTTTCAATAACCTCTCTGTCACTTACTTCACTCTCGGAAGCGGTATTTTCTGGATATAGAACCATACTACAGATTTTGCCGTCCATTGATTGATGATTGGGGCATTGTCATCGCAATGAAAAACTTCTTTTATATCATCTTCATTTATTACCTCTTCTCCACATTTCTTTATAAAATCCGTTAACTGGAAAATTTCACTTTTGGTTTGTGATGTCCGAAAACTTTCAAATTCACTGCTATCATCTTCATCGTCCTCACCATGAAATATGGTAGCTGGCCATAAATTATGCCAAGCATTTTTTAACGTATCTGGAGACACATCTTCCCATGATCCTGCGATGCTCCAAACGGCAGATTTTATGCTAAAAAATTTTAAAAAAGTCTTGAATAGTCTTGCCATTGTTCAAGAAATTTAACATAGATTTTAAAAATAATTTCAGCGCGTGTACTATTCCCATATCCATAGGCTGAAAGATAGATGTACAATTTGGAGGTAAGAATAACACGGATACATTATCTTTCACTAAAACTTAAAGTGAAGTATGCACCGAACAGTTGTCAATGATCAGAACTATTTTTGAGTCATCAGGTAAACTAACCGAATTCAAATGTCACTGAGCCTCAGGTATAAAATGATTTTCAAACCAGTCATTCATAAATGCTTGTGTTATCCATGCTCTTTTATTTGCGCAATATATAATGGGGAAAATCGTTACTTCTTTAAATGCTCGAGGTCGTGCATGTTTTCCGATTACGAAAAGTTTGCACTTGTGCATTCCTGCGGCATTTGCACACGCTAAAATTGTTGGTCTCGCTTTGACATCAGTTGGAGCCTTTTCTGTAGAGCTTGCCAAGGTATTTCGCGGCATATATTGCTAGAAAAGACCAGTTTCATCAGCTTTGTAAATTTGTTCTGGAGATAATTGTTCACTAGTAATGAGTTCAATGAATTCATCTAAAAATTTTTCAGCAGCTTCAGTATCAGCTGAAGCTTATTCACCTGAAATTTTAATTGTCTTATAACATGGCAATTTTTAAATTTGGTTAACCAACCTGTCGAATATGTGCACTCAGTGTTTAAGTCATTTCTTCATGAAGTATTTTGGCTTGAGCCATTAGCATTGGACTGTCAATGGCACGCCCTCGCTGCGACGCTGTCTCTGACCCATTCAATCATCAATTTGTCGTGATCGTCACTTTTAGCATAACAAACCCTTTTTCTGTTATTCATTGCAAGTGGGGTGTCGGAATCCACAAAAAGTTCCTTTTTCTTTTTGCTTATGTCATATACATTTGACTTTCCAACGTCATACTCTTCGCATAATTTTGAGACTGATATGCCTTTTATCCATTTTTTGCAGGAATTCCACTTTTTGTTTAATGGACATCGAAACATGCTTTCGCTTTGTAGATCCTTTGGCAGCTCCAGAATTGGAAACTCTTTTTGACATAATCGAAAGTTCAAGCTTAATTTTTATAAAATTGCTCTAACACAGTTGTTTATAAAGTCTGCAAAAGAAAATAAGCCAGATCCAGTTAGAAGATTAAGGAAGAGTGCAATCTGCAACATTAAACTGAAATGCCTTAAAATCAGTAAAGATACTTTTAGCCTAGCTTATACTGTTCGTTATACATTAAATGCGCATGCATAAAGGTGTATGCATAATGGGTGTATTGAGTTTGATAACGTTTGTTGCTTGAAAAAAAGTACTGGGAACTATCTTCATTCTGGATTGACATGCTCATCGAGACCATATATTAGACTTGTTGACTTTCAAGCAACTAATGACTGACTCGAGGAAATAAAAAGTACCAACTTATTAGGGGGGAAAACAAAACACACCAAAATGTAAATTTTTTGGCAGGCAAATAAGTTGATGTATCAACATATGTGCTTTTCGGCTGCGAGCCAACACTACTTTTGAACTCAATTGGAATGTAATTAATGATTGCTAGAATATTTGCTGTGCTTTTCTATTTTCTTTAAAGACACTATATTGCAATATAGTACTCAATAAATTTATGCTGTATTGAAATCTATAAACACTGTATTAAAATGAATACATTGCTAAAAGTGTGTTGGTGTGTCATATAAAATTGCTTTGGGGCCCACATGCAGCCTATGTGCTGCTAGTTTGAGACCACTGCTGTAATGTGTTTTATCTCTTACACACAGAGCATTGTGTACATTGTACTGAAAATATATTTTTTCTTCATGTATTAAAAACTTTGAACTCTAATTAATTAATACATTATGCATAAATTACAAAATCAGTTAAATACTGTATTTATTAAATAATAATCTGTTTAATAAATTCTTAATTAAATGCTCTATTAGAAAAATTAAATGTTAATTTCGTCATAATCAGATTATCTCCCCCCCCCAAAAAAAAACTTTTATGCATAAGAAGGTGAAAAATCTATCAATTTAGCATAGGCATTTGTATGTTATTAAATAATTATTCAAAATTTTATTAGGAACCATTATAGAAGTATTTGGAGTTAGGATGAGAATGAGAACTGCATGTTATGCAATGGATGTTGCGATTTTATTCTATGGAATGACATAATAGTCATATTTATTGTTAATTTATTAAATGAATTTTATAAAATTAATAAAACTTATTTTATCTAAAAAAATTTTATATTGTTACATGCTACTTTTTTAAATCAAATTATGCATCTTTGCATTTTGACATACTTATGTTGCTCTGATTAATTATTCTAGGTTCTTTTTGTCTTGTATGTCATACCCTAATTGTTCTGCAGTTATGTGGTTACCTGACAGTTTGGAACATATCTCTGTCCTTGAGGAAGAATGTGAAAAAGTAAGTTAAATACGGTACAAAGTCCGAAATCCAGAATCGTTGAGGTATCAGTGATTCTGGATTTTAAAAATTTCTGAAATTTAAAGCATCAGCTTAAATCTACCAGGTTGTTCAATAAGTTCACGAAACATAAATGAAGAAACCAATTTTTATTTGTGAAAATGACTTTATTTTTCAACGTAGTTTCCCTCAACTTCAATACACTTATTCCAACGGTCTTCTAATTTATGGATCCCTTGACTGTAGTGGTTTTTCGGCAGCTCTGCAAAATATCCCTCCATGGCAGCTATTACCTCTTCATTTGAAGAAAATCGTTTTCCTTAGAGATATTGTTTAAGGTGTGGGAAGAGTCAGAAGTCGGAGGGAGCTAAATCTGGCAAATAGGCTGGATGTTGCAACAATTCGTACTTCATTTCAGTTATTTTAGCAATGGTTTTTTGAGCTGTGTGCGCAGGTGCATTATCTTGGTGGAAAATGATTTTCTTCTTCTGTAATCCGGGTCTTCTTTCATGAATTTTTTCGTCTAATTGATTCAAAAGGTTACAATAAAATCCAAATTAATTGTTTTGCCAGTTGAAGGTAATCTATAAACAAAATTCCTTTTGCATCCCAAGAAACTGATACTAACACCTTCTTGGCTGATTTTTGCATACGAATTCGCTTCGGCGCCGAAGAGCCGGGTTCACACCACTCCTTAGCCTTCCTGTTTTGATTCAGGATCATGATGGTATACACAAGTCTCATCCATTGTGATAAATCGACATGGATAAAGTCACTTTTATTCTTCTTAAAATGCTCCAAAATGTTGCTGGTAAAGTCGCATCCAAATGTGTTTTTGCTCCATCGTTAGAAAATGGCAGCACCCATTTTGCACGGAGTTTTTTGAAACCCAAATTAACACTCAAAATATTGCTCACTGTGCCCAATGAAATGCCTAAAGCCTCTGTTAAATCTCTTTCAGTCAATCGGCGGTCCTCCAATACCATATCTTGTATTTTTCCGATAATTTCCAGTGTTGATGCAGTTTTTGGACGTCCCTCTCGCGGATCGTCTTCAAGGCTATTGCCTTTAAATCTTTCTTTACAAAGAATTTGATAACTGTACATTGCTCAATTTTATCCAGATTTAATTTTAGATATAAAGGGCGGTTAAACAATGAATAAATTAACAGATCAAAATGAAAATTTTGACGTGTTCCTAAGAAAGAACAAATATGAAAATGGCGTTGAAGTTTTAGGTCTAATATTGACGAATAGATGGCGCTCCGCGAACAAGGTATTGAACAACCTTGTAGTAAGATGACATGTAGAAATTATAAAATAAAAAATATTCAACAGTTGTTTATAAAGTAATGAAGCATTTATGGCCTAAAAGAAATAAAAATTTAACCTCCCTAAAAAAATGCTGATAGCTAATGTTTTAGATGATTTAAATGCTTAACTGATTGGTACTAAATTTTACTAATTTTAATAATTCCATTTCACCTTTTTTTTATATAGTTTTTGTTTTTATGCTGAATATATGTAATATCCCTTTATCATGTGTTAGGAGCATCTGAAAATATATGTACTAATAGGCCATTTTAACAGAAAATTAGTGCAAATACTGCAATATTCTAAAGTCAACTAATTTTAAAATCCTTAAAAGAATATCTGTAAGAAATATACTGTATATTCTGGTGTATAACGTGCACTTTCAATTAAAAAAGATAAGATGAAATTTACAGGTACGCAGTATGCACCGAGTATAAAAATTATGAATTTAAAAATAAGGAATGAGCATAAAAAATTAGGTTTCTATATGTACCTAAATGCTGTTTATTTAAAAGAAATGACATACCTAATGAACTTAAAAATTTTCATTATTGGATAACATGAAAAGCTTGTCATCTTCGTCTGTATGTCATCAAATTCTGTTTCATTTTCACCATCATTGTTACACTGATCCATAAATAAATCATCATCATTATCATCCGTTCCATCTTTCACCAACACCAAACATTCTTGCTGCAGCAGGATTTCTATTTTCTTTTGCAAAATGAGTGGCTTTGCATATGAATGATTGGCTTTGCATTGCACTGTGTTAGTTTCTTTTTGAGGGAGTCATATTTACTACTAAAAGGAACAGCAGATCAACTGTATTTCAACTAAAGTAAATGTAATTTACTAAAGCCTTCGATGTTTACTTCAAAATCACAGCTTCAAATGACTGCAGAAAGAGAAAATACTCCAAATTATATCCCCCTTTTCTCAAAACCCTATAATAGCATTCTTTTTTACACTTGCATTGAATTCAATCCACCCTCTTTGCAGGAGTATTTACTCCCTCAAGCATTTGACCCACACACATATTGTTCTCCTAATCGCTTGTCAATTCGGTATACCATTGTTCGAAAGGGTGGGACAAGTCATCGAATAAGTGACCTCAAAAGATAAGAGCATTGCACATGTATCTTTTAGATTTCTTCGTGAAGAATTGTGTGCACATTATATAAACAATATACCTAAAAATTAAAAATTTAGCTTGAAATTATGACAGTTTCTTATGTTTTTTGTAGGATGCATCATCTTAGAGCAGTATTTTCAAACTCAGATTTCATATGGACCAAATGTATGATCTAAAAGCAGGTGATAGGCCTGATTTTATTTTTTTTTAACAAAATGAAATTTTTTCTTAATAAAATTAAAAAAAAAGTGTTTTAGTTTCACTTACTAATTTTTTATAAAAAAATACATAAACAATACTAATTATATTAAAGCAAAGGAAAAATTCAAAGTTATATTTATTTATCTAAAATCTTATGGTTGGTACATGCAGGAAATTTTAATTTGTTTGAAAGTAACAATCAGAATTTATGCATAATTCCAAAACTATGTTTTGATGGGCAGTAGAACAAATAAACAGGATTTGTAAGCCGTGTATTAGTTTGTTTGTTTGTATGTAGTAATATGAACTGGACAGCCATGCAACAAGCCAACCAACTAGTGATTTTGGGGACTGCTGGTACTTTATAGAAAGTCACTGCTAGTTATATTTACTACTGATTTTTCTTTGGGAAGGGGTTCAGAAATATGGCTACTCTTAGAAGATGATGACCATTAAGAGTTAATTGTATTATATTTGAAAATTATCCAAGTACAAGAATTTGTAGATTGTTATCTACATGTTGATAAATTATATGAATTCTGCATATAAAAGTATTTTTTAAATTTGTACAATTATATATAACATTTTTTGGGGAAAATGCCAGCCATATCATGCTACTCTACTTCGTTTTTTTTTTTTTTGTATTTTTTTTTTTTTTTTTATATAATATCTATATATATATATACAGAATTCTTTGTGATTGTTAAATAAACTGATTAGAGGAGCAAAAATATAGTTATATTAGTCTAAGGAAACTTGCCTCTTTCTCCCCCCTTCCTCCATTATTGAAGAAATCTTCATAATTTTAATGCATAGAATGTATTTTTTTTTTAATGTATAAAGACATGACAGACTTAATGCTAATGTTTAATAATAGTATTTCTAAATATACAGTAAATTGAATTATTCAGCTTCAGGAAACAAAAGATAGTTATTTTTCTCCTAGTTTCATTCATTTCAGTCTATGATGCTGTTTAGATCAGCTATATCTTTTAACTAAATTATTTAGTAACATTAAAATTTTTTCTTCTGTTCAGAATGCTTCTTGCATTACCTAACTGATATTTGATTAACATAATATTTTCATACATATGGCAATTTATATTTAAAATTTTCACAGTGTCTTCCTAGAAGGGTGAAGAAAGTGAAACTTAAATTTAAACATGGGGCATTAATGCCATTTTTCCCTGACGAGTAAGCATAATTTAAAATATCTCATTTCATTCTAGTGTGTTTTTTAAAATTTCTCTTATTTATTTTGTCATGTGTTTTAGCATCTATATTTTTTTATCATCTATATTTCATTTGTGTTTCGATCAAGGTTTGTGAATTGTCTTGGAGGTTGTGATTCTGAGTTAATGGATGTCATTGATGCTCGACCTATTGTGCCTGCAGGAAGTAATTATTTCTCATCTATGTCAAATGTTTCACGATAAATATGATTGTGATGAAAATTTAAGTTATTAAATTTTTTACACAGAATGTGAAAATATGCATTTTAAAATATACTTAAGTATATTAATGCTATATTTAGTTAGTGTTAATTTTATAATTTTAAATTTGTATTTGCATTTAAGATCTGTTAATTAATAATTTACTATCATAATCAAAATTAAAAAGGTAAGAAACTTTTATGTCAGTGCACATCATGTTTGTAAGGCTTTGCATTCATTTGTTCTCGGTTTTGCAGTTGATCAAGAATAGGATTATTTAAAAGGTGTTGGATTAGGGATATAATTTTTAATAATAATTTATTAAACTTCGTAATCTTAGTACATGTTATGTGATATTATTTTAATTTTACCCACTCATTAAGACTTCTGTTCTAAAATAAATTTTAAATAAATACATATTTTTATTTTAGCAAATAATTTCGTTCAACAATCAATTCGTTTTCAAGTAGTTAATAATGTTATACAGTCAAAAGTCTTTAATCCGGATTCGTCGGGACTTCGCCGATTCCGAATTATCGGTTTTTCCGGATTAGAGGTCATCAATTAAATTGGGCATGCAGAAGTATAAATTAAAAATATGAACGTAATTTATAAAATTAAAAAAGAAACCATATTTATGAAAAAAAAAATATTAAACTGTAATTATGAAAGGAAGAGCATTATAATCTAAAGGGTATCAAATTAAAAAAAAAAAAAAAAAAAAAAAAAAAAAAAAAAAAAAAAAAAACTTAATTTATTGTTTACTTTATTAACATCCTTCATGTAAGGTTTAAGGCTTCGTTTTATGTGCTAATACTTTCTCTTTAATTCTATAAACAGACATAATTTCTTGTTCAGTTACAAAGTTCCGCTGTTCAAGTCCTATAATTGCTGTGTCGAGAATGCTGACTAATTTGTCAATCGAAATTTTTTCGTTTTCAATAACCTCTCTGTTCTTTCTTTACTATCGGAAGCGGTACGTCGAAACATGCTTTCCCTTTGTAGATCCAGCATCGGAAATTCTATTTGACATAATCGAAAGTTTCAACTTACTTTTATAAAATTGCTCTAACAATCTGCAAAAAATAATAATCCGGATCCAATTAGAAGATTAAGGAACAACGCAATCTGTAACATTAACTGAAATAGATAATTAGATAATTTTATCCTAGCTTATACCGTCCGTTATACATTAAACGCGCATGCGTAAAGGTTGCGCAGAAAGTTTGTAGCTTTGAGGTGCGGATTATAGATCATTCCGGATTATGGACGTCCAGATTAAAGACTTTTGACTTTAGTACTTATTTAATTCTGTGCAATCAAATAACTATAAATTAAATTAAATACTCTTCAATGAAATTTTATTTACCATTTTTATTGCTTTTGAATAATTTTTGGTCATATACATATATACCAAGGGTTATTGTTTGATAACTTTCAGATCCTAGCATTACACCTACCTCAGTAACCTCAACATCTAGAAACACAAGTTCAGATAGTGGATATGAATCTGCTCAACGTATGTTTCATAATAACAATGCATCTTCATCTTCTGCTATCTCAAGATCTAGTTCTACATCATCTGTAAGACATCATGCATTTACTAGCTCTCAACAGCCTGGATTTGTGTCTAGTCGACAATTAAATAGGCAACCATTAAAGTAAGAAATCTCACTTAGCAGATAAGTATTGCTATAGTTTTCCATTAGTTTGCCCTTGAAATACATGAGTTTGAATTGCATGATTTCATTTATATGTGGGTTATTTTTCAATTCCTAGTAGATTTATTAGGAAATTTTTCAGAGATTTTAAGCAGTTTGTGTAAACTATCAAAATTTGTATATCATGACTACTTGTATGTAGATATTTCACAATACTTGAATATTAGATGACACCCAGGATACATTGCCAAGAATCTCTTGCCACTAATTGGCAGTGAAATGTGTTTTTGATCTCTGCAGATTATTTAAATGTTTCTTTTATTTCCCTACAGGTTTGTTTGGCAATTGCATCAAACAGATTATTTTTCTTTGCAACTTGTCTATGCTTTCATACAAACTGTTAACTAAGAAGGCAAGACTCCTCAAAACACTTACCACTCATTTTAAATATTTATTGGTACTTGTCAGCATTACATTTCCATTTTACATCCTTCATTTCATATACAGCTCCAGTATTTCTAATTTATTCACATAAGGCTCACCAGCACCCAACAAGTTGAGTTGCTGAACACTGATAATTTGGCCCAGGTTTATTTCCTGGTGTACAGGTTGGCTACATAATAGCTTTTATGGTTTTCTTCACGTATAATGTAGATTCAAACCCATTTCCTTAGAAAGTCCTTCACAAAGGCAACAGATAAACCTTTAAACAGATAGCCCTGATATGCTTTACCATCAAATAAACCAAACCAAACCAATCATTATGTAATGTTGCATTAAGTGAATATTGGAATATTAATGACTTTTTCTCAAATAATGTGTATATACACTGACAGAAAAAGAAAAAAAAAGAAAAAAAAAAAAAAAAAAAAAAAAAATGAAAAAAAGAAAAAAAAAATCCCAACACTAAGAAAAAATTATAAAAGTGCTGTCATATGACCATAACTCCAGGTGTGTATCCAGTGTACCTAGGCCACAGACATGTTGGTTGTAGCTGCTCACCTGGCCTCCTTCTAGCCAACACACGGCCATCACTGGCACCAACTCAGAAATGATTTTCATCAGAAAACACGATAGATTTCTACTCTGTCCTGCAATAAACTGTAGCTTGTCAGTAGAATGCATGCTATAGGGATTTTGGCTCAGAGCTGTCCTTCAAGTAACCGATTTGTAACAGTCCGTTGTGTCACTTTGCTGCCAGCTGCTGCTCGGATTTCTGCTGCAGATGCAGTATGATGCACCACAGCTTCACACTAAATGCGGTGGTCTTCTCTAGTGTCCTCACATACTGTGTGAGTGATTGTATGACAAAGTTCGGAGTGTCCTTCAGTAGTGAAAATTGGCAGCCTGACAGATCGACTTCCAGTTAATTGCACGCCGCATCATCCTCCCCCTACAGAGCAGCGTGAAATTGATAAACATATTTCGGAATGATTAGAGAATCAAAGGATATGCCTTTATCCATTTTTTGCAGCAATTCCACTTTTTGTTTGATGGACATCGGAACATGCTTTAGCTTTGTATATCCTTTGGTAGTTCCAGAATCGGAAATTCCTTTTGACATAATCGAAAGTTCAAGCTTACTTTTATAAAATTGCTCTAACAGTCTGCAAAAAAATAATAAGCCGGATCGAATTAGAAGATTAAGAAACAACGTAATCTGCAACATTAACTGAAATAGATAATTAGATAATTTTAGCTTAGCTTATACCATCCGTTATATATTAAACGTGCATGCGTAAACATATTATGGATATGCGCATGCATAAAGGTGTTATACGCATGCGTTAATGCATTATGCGTTGATGCATGCACAGAAAGTTGTAGCTTTGATTTCCGGATTATAGATCATTCCGGATTATGGACGTCCAGATTAAAGACTTTTGACTATATTGGAAACTTCTTATGTACAAAAATGCATAATAAATTATCAGTTTTTATATGCTGTTATATGTTTACAATTAAAATATAATTTAATAACTTGTATAGAAATTAATTTTTTATATTTTATGAATAGCATGGTGTTAGTCAAAATTTCCAATCCTCAGTACAGGTGTGTAGAGCCCAATCAAGTCAAGAAATTGCTATGACATAATAGGATACCAGACATCTCTTGCAAATACTCCATCTCTCCTTCCTTCCATAATGAAGTGCACAATATTTTACATAAATTTTCCTTTGTGGTCAATTTATTAAGTTGTTTAATAACATTCTCAGAATGTGCTTACTTTTATTACATTCAAGTTTTAGAATTTTCATATAAATTGACATTAAATAACAAATTTTCAATAGAGTTTTGTGCTGTAACTATGAGGGTAAGTTGAAAAATAAGTTTCCCGCGTCGACTGTGGTCAGAGTTGTGTATGAAAGTCAAAAAATAGAATGAGACATTGAAGATATGACATACCTTTATTTTATTATTCTCGTACGAGTACGTTGAGACATTTGTCATATTGCTGGATAAGCTTCAAAAAGTCCTCCAAGAAAAATTCATGCTTTGCATATGGAAGAAGTGTTGAACGGCTATGTGCGAAAGGCAACACAGCAGGAAAACGCGCAAGTCACCGATACACCATTGGGTAGAGGTCGCTGCAAATCAAGCAGATGGTGCTGTTGCAGTGCCTGCGCAAAGCGGAGACCAGCCTCTCATTTGAGCCCCGGTAGGTATGGAGAGAAGGTGCGTTTTGAATTCGTGGTCACAGGAGGAAGTGAGAGCGGTTATCCGCTATGAATGGGCACGTGGAGTATCAGGAACAGAAATTCATAACCGCCTCATGGAAGTCTATGGGCCAGGTGTGATGTCGAAGCAAATGGTGCAGAGATGGTGTCGCACATTCAGTGATGGACGTCAGCAAGTAGAGGACATACCGAGAGCTGGATGAACACACACGGCCACTACAGATGCAAATGTCAGGAAGGTGGATGACATGATTAGAGCGAACCGGCGTATCACCATCGATGAAGTAGCGGAAGAACTTGGAATCTCACATGAGCGAGCTCAAAACATCATCCACGGCATTCTTCGACACAGAAAAGTGTCAGTAAGATGGGTGCCCCGACAATTGACCTCGACACACAAGGAACAACGCATGGGGGTCAGCCTGGAACATCTCATGCGTTACCATGAAGATGGCAGTGACTTTCTGTTTCGGATTGTGACGGGGGATGAAACATGGGTCCACCATTTCACACCAGAATCGAAGGCCGCATCTGTGGAGTGGAAACAACCGTCATCACCTGTCTGAAAGAAGTTCAAGACAACTCCCTCTGCAGGTAAAGTGCTCCTCACAGTTTTCTGGGACGCCCAAGGAGTTTTGTTGCTGGACTTTTTGGAGGTTGGAACCATCAATGCTACGCACTACTGTGACACCCTGTCGAAACTGAAAGGCGATTCGGAAAAAGCGGCCTGGCCTTCTCACATTTGGCGTTCTGCTGTTAAATGACAATGCCAGACCACATTCGGCGATGGCAACACAAAAGCATATTGCAACTCTTGGTTGGGAGCGCCTACACCATCCGCCATACAGTCCTGATCTCGCACCAAGCGACTTCCGTCTGTTTCCGGCTTTGAAGAAAAATCTCAGGGGAAGGCGCTTTGGAAGCAATACTGAAGTGAAACAAGCCGTTCAACGCTTCTTCCATATGCAAAGCCCTGATTTTTACCTGGAGGGCTTTTTGAAGCTTATCAAGCGATATGACAAATGTCTCAATGTACTTGGTACCTATGTGGAAAAATAAAGGTATGTCATATCTTTAATGTCTCATTCTATTTTTTGACTTTCATACACAACTCTGACCACAGTCGACAGGGGAAACTTATTTTTCAATTTACCCTCGTAGCATTTGCATTTTATACTGCTGCAATTAAATTTTTATGCAGTGAATAAAAATGAGGTTTCTCAAAGGAAAATTTAAATTAATATTAAATAATGAATTAGGAATTTTAATTTTGTATTTTAGGCAAAATTATGCACTTTATATTACTATTTAAAAAAATGTAAGCATGTTTATAGTCTTTACAGTTTCTTTATAGAAACTTCTAGTACAAAACTGTATTAAATATTAAATTAAATGTTTCCATTTTCTGCTATATACATATGAACTTAAAAGTTCCGAGCTATAAAATTAATCAAAAAATTAAAAGTTAGAGATTTTAAAACACAAGTGAATGTCTAACAGTCTAGCAATCAGATACATAATTATAGTAATTGTACATGATTATCCTATACAGTATTATGCATAATGAAAAAAATGAAATGAATAAAAATGAAATTCTATAGTATTAATGTACCCATTCTTTTAAATAGAGAAATAAATTCAAATTTCAAATTAAGATCCACTTACCCTATAATACTTTGAAGTGGTAAAATTTTCCTGTGTTATCAAATTTTTCAAATTTAACCATTTCTTTAACAAAACTCGTTGTTTAGGAAATCTGTATACTGACACTTTGTGGTCGTCATTATAATTTCTTCAATATAAAGGCACACAACACTTAAAAGGTATAATAAAAGAAAAAAAATCAAGATTGAAATAAAGATATAGACATTCAGCTTACTAAAATGATGCTGTGGTTCACTAACGTGTTCTCTCATAACCAAAAATGAAGTTTTCCTAACTTGCTAGTAGGGAAACTTCTGTTTAAGGAGGCTCCCCCCCCCCGAAAAAAAAACATCATTCTAGGACAATCTGGTATAGTTTGTAGAGTTACCTGTATGTCTTAGCAGAGTATCAGTCTGGTGCCGAATACCCAAGTGCCATTTTTATCTGTCTTGTCATTTGTTACCATAAGATGAATGTAAATTTGTTTTTAAAGGTTAAAAGTTTGCCAATATATTAGCAGATAAACACTGGCAAATTTCACTTGACATCATGGTAAGGTAGTCAAATGTGAACAACCTAAAGGAATAAATGATTTTGTATTTATTTACTGCTGCTGGTATTAGGGTAAAAAAGTCATAGATATCTACTTAAAACATTTTATATGTCAGTTTGTGATTATCTTTGCCTTAATAATTCATGAACCTAGCAAACTGAGCATTGCAACTAAGTGGGATCTCTCATGATTCTCAATTAATTTTCATCATATTTTATATATTACTACAATCCTTAAGAGGACAGCAAACCTGTAAAATAATACTAAGTTGCCAATTCAAGAAAAGTCAAGGTATGCCAAAAAAAAAATTGAATTATTTGATATGCTCTGTAGACATTTTTAATCATTTCATTTGTTACAAAATGTTTTCTTCGATGTCTTGCATGTATATAATAATTAGTATAGCAAGTATAATGATTTTAATTCATATGACAATATTACATACATTATAAATTTACAATATTACTGAGTATTGACATTTTCTTCAGGCCTTTTTTTTCGGGCGGGGGTGTATGTATTATTTATGAAGTAAATTTTTATAGGCTGTGCAAGGCAGTTATTTTGTTTGATAGTTTGTGAAATTTTATGCAGAAAATATGAAAATGAAATGTTTTATTACTTTTGCAAATGCTTTATGAGGCAATGGTCTCAAACTCTATATGTGCGCCAAAGGCATGATTTGAAAGCAGCTGACAGACCAGAACATTTTCTTAACAAATTTTTTTTTTTAAATTTTTTAACAAACAAATTAAGAAGGGGGAAAAAAAAGATAAAAATTTGAAAGGTTTTAGATTTTCAGTTGGAGGGGGCCGAAATGCTTCTCTGCAGGCCTGTTTCCATGTTATTTAGCATATGCAATCATATGTAGCTTGCATGCTATGTTATAGTACTGCCGATGTTGTTTTTGAGCCATAACTTGCCAATAAATTCAAGAAAATTGAATAGTAGAAATTTCACACACTTAAAAGTCATTCACAAAAATTGGAAAGTTTAAACGAAATCAGCTGTGATCGTTGATGACAGTGCATGCACATTCACTGAACTCTGTGTAACTATAATATTCCCACACTCCGCAAGGAAACAAGAAAAAATTGCATAACTCTGAATAGAGGAAATTTCCAGAAATTAATGTAATCAAAAACTGAGTATCAACATACAAGACGAACCCTGTTTTTCAGACCTATTTTCAGAGAAAAAAAGTGCATCTTATATGCTGGCAAGTATAGTAATTAAATTCCATTTATTCAATATTTATTGAAACATACAATAAATAATGATAGTAGTAACACAAAAGAAAAAATTCAGATTTATATTTATTTTCTGTCTGAAGACTAAAGATAAAGTATAAAATCCTGCAAGAAATTTCTCTTGCTTATAACATTTTAATTCAAACATATAGCTAAATAAATTTTAGACTTTAATTTATTTCAGATAATTCCAGTATGTTGAATAAACCACTAAATAACTTACTTTTAATGTAAGCCAGAAAACTAAAAATACCAGAATATTAAAGCACTACTGCTGTTGGCTGGCAAAATAAATTTACTGTTTACCAACATGGAAATTCTCCAATCTTATCTTACTCATATGGCCAGCGGTACAGACATATAGTGACAAAGACAAAGCTCCAACCTATTCATTTTATCTTTTTCAGAAGCAGTTGTGCACATGAGCTCAGTCATATCTATGTTTTTAAAACAGTAAGTTCTAAATACATAATTAATATGCATTCATGTGCTGCATAAAATTGGTTTGGGGCTATAATTTTCAGACCGCTGCTTTAAAGCACCCTAAGTTGCTGTTGAATTTGTTTTCCCCCTTCTTATGTCAAAAGTATTATACAAAATGTGATTTTAGTGAAAATGTTAAGCACACGTTTCTCTCTCTTCTTTACAGTCCTGTGTTTTCTCCTAATCGAATTTCTAACCCGTCTGATGATATAGTTTGCAACTGCGGTAAAAAAGCGATTGTATTAACTGTTAGGAAAGAAGGGCCCAATACAGGTTTGTTGAATTTACTTTCATATTTATGGAAAGAAAGTTTTATTACTATTATTAAGACATTTTTCTCATTACGTTTCCTACAGTTGAAAATATGAAATAGATGTATTTGTCATCATAATCATTATTATTCTGTTTCTGGCATTCTGGCAAATGAGATACTCCACCTCGTTCACTTACATACATTGAATGGTGTCTCATGAGGAGTCATACTAAGTTGTTTTGTTTTCAGAAGTCAGTTTGGGAGAGCATTAGAATGTTCAATCAAAACTTCAAGATTTCACAGAACACAGAAATACATTTATTAACAATAAACTTAAAGATATAATATATTACTTCCGCCTATAGTGGCCATGAAAACATAATCAAGCATCAAAAAAAGGTATGACATGCGTCATTCTTTATGTTCAAGCGTCAAGTAGAATATTTTTCATCGGCGTGCATCAAGAGCGCCACCTATCTACCGAAAAGACGGAACATACATTGTCTAGCACAAAAAGGAAATTCTGATTTTTTAAGAATTCTTAATAAAATAGTATGCAGTATATAGCAAAAGATGTTTAGTTAATTTTCTCATTCACATGTTTTTTTTATTAATTTTTTTAAAAATAAATTTTGTTAAATCTGATAGGGGTATCTGGTTAAAGGGAAAAAATTGCTCCATGTTATTTATTCATTTTTATTGGTGTGATGGCAATTTTGTTCATAATTGGTGTAATCATATTCCTCAAATTTGTTAAATTACATATTGTTGCAAATGCTTTTTAGATGTATGACGAATTATTCAAAGAAATGAGCTCATTTCATTTTTTAGCTAGAATATTTAGCTCGTTCTTAAACCATTAAAGAATTTTCTAATCAACTGTCATTTTCTTAAGGTTAAGAATTTTTAAGTTAGATAGTTGATTAGAATGATTGTTTTTCATATACTTCAAAATGTCTTTAATGCTACCTGTGTTAATGATGATTCAATACATGTTTTTTTTTTTTTTTTTTTTTTTTTTTTTTTTTTTTTTTAAATTCCTGGAAAAGCACTAAATTTACAGTGATTCTTTATACAGTCAAAAGTCGTTAATTTGGACACCCATAATTCGGAATGATCTATAATCCGGACATCAAAACTAAAAACTTTCTGCGCATGCGCCACGTTGACACATGCGCAGAGGCGTTCACGCGTGCACGTAAGACCTTTTACGACTGCGCATATGAGTGTGCGCAAGTGCAGAATACATTTTCGCGTGCGCATTTTATGTATAATGGACGTATAAGCTAAAATTATCTAATTATCTATTTCAGTTAATGTTGATGATTGCGTTGTTCCTTAATTTTCGAAATTGCATCCGGCTTATTATTTTTTGCAGACTGTAAGAGCAATTTTATAAAAGTAAGCTTAAACTTTCGATTATATCAAATAGAATTTCCGATATATATTTGTTAATATGTAAAGGATCTAAAGCGAAAGTATGTTTTGAAATCCGAAATCTGTTTATCAATTTCACACTGCTCGGCGGGGCGGAATGCCTCGGCGCACTAATGAATTTGGAAGTTGATCTGTCAGCACTATCCTTATCTTCAGCGCAGATGTTTTTATTTTATTTGGCTTATAATTCCTTACTAAATGTAGTATTTCATCTTCGATGCATGCTCCGTCTTTGATATGATTTAAAACAAGTTCCTCGTCATTATAATTCGCTTCCGATAGCGAAGAAAAGTGACAGAGGTTATTGAAAACAAAAAAATTTCGATTGACAAATTAGTCGGTGTTCTTGACACAGCAATTATAGGACTTGAACGGTGGAACTTTGTAACTGAACAAGGAATTATGTCTGTTTAACAGAATTAAAGAGAAAGTATTATCACATGAAACGAAGCAAAACTTAAACAACTTGAAAGAAATGTTTAATAAAGTAAACAAATAAATATTAAGCTTTTTCTTTTTGCAAATTTTGATACCCTTTAGATCATAATTGTTCTTTATTTCATAAATTACGGTTTCATATTTTTAATTTTAGAATTTCTGCATGCCATCTTACGAGATTTAAACTGATGATCTATAATCCGGAAAAATCGATAATCCGGAATCGCCGAAGTCCCGACGAGTCCGGATTAACGACTTTTGACTGTAACATGATTTATACTAGAATTGCTGAATGGTGTTAAGTAAAATTGATCCATTGCTATAAGAATTATTGATAAGCAGTAAAAAGCAAGTGGTTTGAAATGTCAAATTATTTTGTCAGATTGAACAATTAAAATACTATCAGAATGGCAGATAACTTGTATTTTATCATTCATTATATTATACTGGGAACAAAATTATTCTGAATGCTGAAAGAACAAACAGTGTACATTAGCCAATTAATGAAATCTTAATTTTTTATATAGTACCCATATGCAAATTCATCTTTTATAGGTTTCATTAAAAACAATTATGCATGCATTAGAAAAAACGTACATTATTGTAAATGTAACATTATTCTTCCTTCCAAATAAATATACTCATATTGGTATCAATTTTAAGTAGAATTTATGCATATTTGGAAACCACATAGAAATGCTTTATATTTTCACCTTTTAATTTCATAATTATGTGTACAGTAGTCAATGCTTATTAAAATTACTTCTGTTTCAAACATATGAGTTTATTAAGTGGCTGAGTTTAATAGATGGTAATTTGTGTTTTGTAAAAAAAGTGATGTAAATTTTAAACTTTACAATTAAAATAGTAATTAACAAGCTCATTAATTAATCCTAAAATTAAAATTAATACTAAAATTAAACTATTTATGGAGTTTTTAAATCCATTTTTTTTAGTTTTTATAAGAATATTTTTATAATTACATTCTTGGTGAAATTTTATTTCCTACAAACAACCGTTCTATTGTGCTTGTTTGATATTGATCAACAACAGTTTTCAATTGCATTATCAGTTTTGTAAAACTGCTGATAGCTTTTTTGATCAGCTTAACATTTTCATAGCTAGTTTTTATATACACAGTCGCCCACCAGCGGCGGAGCGTTAAAGTCACTGAACACTGGTAGTTCGGTCCGAGGTTCAAATCTCGCGAACGGGCTGGCTGCATGAGTGTTTTCGTGGTTTTTCCCATGTGTAACGTGTATACGAGCCAGTTTCCCTTAGAAAGTCCTCCATGAAGGCATCCTTTCTCTTAGGCAGATAGTCCTAGTGTGCTTTGCATATTTAAATACACCACCTATATAAACAGTCTCAGTATTGTTGTGAATTGACACATATTCTAAAAATGAGTTCTCATAACTTTCCTCGCTGATATTTAAAGCATTAGCTATAGTTTGCAATCCTTCTGAGGTTTTTTTTTTTCTACTTAAAAGCCACATTTTCAAAAAACCTTTTTAACTGGGTTTAAAAGATGAATCCCTTGCATTAAGTATAATATGTATAGCCTCTAGCAGAGATATCTACTTATAGGTGATTATTATGTGACAAATATATTATGTTAAGGGCAGTTATCTTAATATAAATAATAATTGTATTATGAATTTTATTAATAAAATTATGTAACATAATTGTGGATATATTGCATTTCACTATCGTATTTATAATTATTACCTTACAAACATACTAAATGTGTAATTCATTATTTTTGTTTTTAAATTAATTAAAAATTATTATTAAAATATTAACAGAACTTTGAAATTCATCTTTCTTTGGTTCCATTATACAACTATAAAGATAAATATATAAAATCTATATTTCTGTTGTATATAGTTATATAATAAAGATATTGAATTAAATACATAAAAGTTGTAAACACATCATTTATTTTGGACATGAAATTAAATTTCAATTTTTTTTTTTTTTTTTTTTTTTTTTTAAAGGCAAAAATTTTTCTGGTTTTTTTTTATTTTGGTTTGGCAATTAAAATATTCCCGAATTCCATCTTCCGTGGCTCTAAACTGGCAAATATATCAATAATTTTGTCAATTGCTATTTCTTGGTATAATGAATGTGCATTAATGCCAAAGAATTTCTGTGCTCTTCCGTTATAATAGCTCTATTTTAATTTTCTAACCTTTTCAAAACACTCACAGAATGTTCACATTTGCAAGATGTTATCGGCAGTGTAGCTGCTGTGTGCAAAAGCACATCAGTATTTGGTAAATATATTTCATTTGAAGCTTTTAAAGCCAAAACTGGTGTGTCTGGGAGCTTTGCTTTTTGAAGAGGCATAAAATGCCATCGCCAACATTTCGTCTCTTCGTTTGGTCTCTTCGTTTAGAAATTCCGGAGAGGGTAAATCATATTCATATATCACCTTCAACCTATTTACAGCAATTTCATTTACATGATCAGCGCAAACTAATGGTTGTATGCTCAACAAGGGATGATGCAGTCTTTTCTAAATTTGAAATTTAAAATTTTAAATGGAAAATGAGATGGTCAAGTAAAGAGATTGCTAAAACAGTTTTATAATAATTAAGCACAGAAACATAATAAGCATTATTTCAATAGACTTGCTTTCGAATGATGCGTAGAAGTTTAAACTCTACATCTAATTTTTTACACATTTGCCCGTCATGATGACGTACACTCGCAAAACTCCAGGTTGTCTCTGAAGTTTAACCGTAATTCTTTCTAAATGAGATAGATAATGATATGCTGTAATGAATGTTACAATGAAATGATTGAACTCAGCAGAACCATAGTGTCTGACTTAGACTGCACACTCCATTGATTATGCACATAAGCATCTAGTTTGGTTGAGGCACACAGTGTGCCCTAGAGCTTCAATTTTATCGAAAAAGCTTTAATAAAAATGCTGGTACGCCTTATAATGCATGCATCTTGTCCAGGAAAGGTCTAATATTAATTTTGTCAACCTAAATCATCGTATGAGGAGACTCATCACATGGGTTTAATGTAACCCAAAATGCAAATTTATTAGCCACCAAAATGTAAGACAATATAAAGTACAAATAGACTTATATTTAAACTTAGCCCATTTAATAATATTACACAGAAGAAC